AAGTCTGACACTCCTTTTCCCGGGTGGGATGACGAGGAAGGCGAGTCGCGCTAGCGACGTGAGACGAGTCCCGCTCGCGCCTTGCCCCCCCATGTCCGTTTTCTGACCTCTCATCACCTGGAGACGTGGTGTCATCACCAATAACCTCGATGAGGCACAGAAGCGGCAGTTGGAAGCTGCCCGCAAGGCGGCTCTGATGCGCGCCCATCCATGACCAGTCATTGACCCTCGTGTGGAATATGGCTTCCGCCCGGCGCATTGCGATGTGGAAGCGAAGGACGTGGTAACTCGATCGTTACGCCTCCACATCATCGCCCCCCCCGCCATTACGGAAGATGAGCTTGCCAAACGGAAAGCTCTTCGAGCTTGTTTCTTGGTTCCACAAGAATGTCCGTTGGAAGCTTATCGCACTCGTCTACGTGCTCAACGAGGTGGCTCTCGTGTACCCAAAATGCGGACAATACCTGAAGTGCTCGCCCCTGGCGAAAGCGATACAGATTACGAAGCGCTCTTTGAGCGATGGATGCAACAGCACCGGAAGCTTTCCTCATTGTATAAGCTACAGTTGAGCCACAAGGAGGTGGACGTGCGTGTGGAGCGACATCTCCGATTTGAGTATGCGAAACTCAAGGCACGCCGTCGACTTCCTTCGGATTGTCACCCTGCAACTTATGGGTCAACCCCCAACGCTCCCGCGAGCTCTGTGTCTGCGACCGCATGAGCTCAAGGCCACTGCTTGAGTTCAACTCATGGCCTTTTTACTTCCCTGGATATTGCTGGGAAGCGCGGGGCGTCCTGATTTTTCTGATCAAAAGCGTTCACGGCTTCTGTGCAATCTTGCCGAAGTGGCGTCTCAAACTACCACGAGTTTTTCGGGTCATCCCCGCCACTTCATCAGATATTGGGTTTGACCCTGGTGACGACGTCGTCCCACTAGACGTTCCGCTTGATAGTGGACGTCATTGTTCTCATCGAGAAGAGTCGGTGGCGGGCGGTGACGACCGGGTCGACCTCCGTCCGGTGACTCGTGATGCTCTTCGAGCCCTTGAGGACGAGGTCCTTCGTGATCAGAGCTCCGCTGAGCGTCATGCTGAAGTAGCATATCGTTGTGCGGACGCTCTTGAGGATTTGAAGCACTTCGTGCGCCGGCTGCCTCACCTTGAGGACTACCGCGCTTTGCCGGAGCTACTCCTTATCTTGGAGCAGGCGAATGCGTCGCTGCATGCGACGGTGGAGCGCTTGGCGCCATTGGAAACGAAGTCAGCTTCTGGGTGCGCCGGATCCCGGTACGGCTTGAGCAAGCCCAAGTAAAACACCGGGTATGTGCGCATCTGTTTTGAAAGGTTCAGCGTATACGCTAGACCCCGCTTGGCCAAAACCTCAAACGGTCCGATAAACCGTGGACAAAGCATCGTCCTGAAGATAGCAGAGGCAGCATGGGCTGGAAGATTTTGAGAAGTTAGTAAAACCAGGCCCCTAAAGCTTTCTACTTTGCCTCTTCCTTTTTCATCTGCATATTCTTTCTGCAGGTCTTGGCTTTCAGCCATCGCATCGCGAAAATGTCGTAGGACACTCAGTCTGGTAGTCAAGAAGTCATCGACTTATTTGCGGATGGTGAGGAGGCTGACATCAGCCAGCCGTTCGGCTATTCCTTCCCCACCAAGCCCTGAGCCATGAGATGGCGGCGTCAGTGGGACGAGAGGGTGAACCAGCCCGTTCACGTAGAACGGCGTGTAGTCGGTAGACGAATGCACTGCATTGTTCAGCGCAAACTCTACGAGTGGCAACATGGCGCTCCAGCGCCTCGGTGTATCAGCGCAGACGCTGCGAAGAACGTCTTTGATAACGCGATTAACCCTTTAAATTTGGCCATCGGTCTGTAAATGATCCGCTGTCGAAATATCCAACTTGGTGCCAAGCACCTTGAACATTGTCGACCAGCAAGGTTTTGCGAAACGGGGGTCTCTATCAGAGTCAATCGACTCTGGGAGTCCGTGTTGTCGGAAAACACGAACAGCGTTGCTCTACCGACCTCGCCGATGGTGTCAGGCACCGCCGCCAAATGAGCCATCTTGCTCAACTGGCCGACGAATACCACGACACCCGTGTTGCCCACCAAATCTTTCGGCAGGCCAAACACAGAGTCTAAACGCATGGACTGCTAGCGCCCAGTGGTATCGGTAAGCTGGCCAGCGGCGCAGCCGCATTTGGAGAGGGTTTCACCCGTTGACACCAATAGCGGTGACTCACAGAGTTGTACGTTTTCTCACGACCGAGATAACCACTGAGTGGCGTGTC